GGCGAGACTGGAGAGGCCGGGTGGGTGCAGGCGACGACGCCCGCGCCTCCCTCGGGGCCGACTGGGCGGGGGACGTGGGCGGCCGAGGCCTGTAGGGTGGGCCCCGCGGCCCCTCAGCTGAGGCGACCCCGCCGCAGCCGCGCCTCCCTTCTGTCAGGACTGCCCCACGCCGCCGCTTCCCAGGCCGGGGTGCTCAGGCTCAGGCCATCTGCGAGGGCTGCGGCTTCGGGCATCACGTTAACGGAACGAAAGCGAAAACGCCGCCACCCGCCCACAGCTCGGCTCGCGAGGGACGCGCTGTCAGCTCAATAAGTTCCGAGAGGAAGGCAGTTCTCGCGAGATTTCCTGCGCAGGGGGCGGGGCGTGGCGGGCAGGGAAGGCGGGGTGTCGGTCTCGCGACCCAGGGGCTGACGTCACCCGCCTCACGTGAGCGCGCCTCGCCTGACCCCTTTGCGAAGAGGAGGAGCGGCGTGTGCCTTGGTCGCGCGCTCGAAGCTCTGCCGTGCGGTACGAGCGACCGTGCTGCGCAAATGCCGGGCGGAAAGCACGTAGCGTTTCGGGAACGGCCCTGCTTATTAGCATATGTGCCATCGTTTACAGTGAAAACGAGAAGAATAACCGTGCATTACATTTAAAACGGTAGGGAAATGGCTGATGACTAAAACCAGCCCTGGGCCTTTCCTTCAGTCCTGTGCCTTTAATAAACTATAAAATTGCAAATTTAGAGACAGATCATAAACAAAATGTTATGAAAGGTTTTTGCCAAATTATCGCCTTTTATTTTACAGCACTGGACTGGAAAACGTTGGCGTTCCATTGCTCATTTGTTCATCGTTAGCACGACATCATGGACTCAAAATTTCACGGCTGGATGATAAACGGTAACTTGGAGATAAGGAGAACCTAAGATTTAAAGGAGTTGTTTCTTGCTTCCAGAGGCTGCTATTAAAAAAGCAAACCAGCCTTGTCCACGTGACGCCTAATCCTCATTGCCCTATGTCCTGATCTGGGGAATGCTAGACTGACTGCCAATAACCGAGCATTACCAAAGTTCTCAGAATGTTCACAACTTTGAACGCTTCTTAAAACAAAACTGAACTTTATACATATCTTGATTCTCAGCCTTAAAAAGCAAATAATGTGTAAAATGTAGAGCTACAAAAAAAGGCTGAAAACAAAAACTATATAAGAAAGAAATAAGGTGTCTAAATATTAATAACTGGACTATAAAATTGAAAAAAAATCCAATTTGGTCTAGGCTAAAGATTTTAATACGTTTTAAATATTTAACAATGTAGTTTCAAGTTATAGCGCAATAATTTAATATTCTCTGAATCTAAAAATAAAAAGTAAAATTAAAACAATAAATAAAGGTAATCAAAAATTTTACAACTCAGGAAGAAAATTGTTTTTTTAAATATTCAAGTAACGAGGCCTACATAATTACAGTATTTATCTCAGTTACTTAAATTACTGACAATTGTAAATCGTTAACGATAATTGTGTGATACAATAAAGGAAACAATTGCGTTTTAATGTTGATATGTTATCAGACAATAAATGTGTAGTTTTTTAAGCAAACACTACTTAGTCTATAGTTGCGCCGTTCCTTAATCTGTATCCTGGACTAAAACATTTCTTATCTGAAGAGGCGTCGACGGTTATTTCTGAAGGTCGGACGCACGGCTGCACGGAAGTCCCGCGGGGATGACAGTCCGTGCTTCGGCCCTGCTCTGCGCTGCCCTCGTCCTCAGCACACCCGCCAGACGATCTCCTTCAAAGCCCCGTCCAAGCACATCTTGTCTTTGCTCGAAGCCTTCTGAAGCCTTCCCATCTCCAACGGATTGAAAACCAAAATCCCAAAATTGGCTTACAAGGCCCTAGAGGACCTGCCCATCGCCCGTGCTCCATTATTAACCTTCCGGCCTGTGTTCGCCTGGTTCCTGCTCCCACGCTGGCCTCTGCTGTTCCCGGAGCATGACAGGTGCTCCCACGAGGGACTCTGCATCGGGGCTTGGTTCCCTCATCCCCACAACGTTCGCCTGTTTTCCCCCTCCCATTTCTTCAACTCCCGCGGTTTTCCACCCATCGATGCGGCCTTTCCTGGCCACTTCCCAATACTGCACTTCTTTCTAACACGATTTCTATCCTAGCTCCCTGCTTCATCTCCCCTGAACGCCCATTGCCATCTAGTATGCTACAAATTTTATGTTTTCCTTGTGAATCGTTAATTCCCAACTAGCATATGAGCTCCCCAAGGGCATGAGTTATTGTCTGTTTTGTTCGCTGCTCCATTTCCAGCAACTAGAATAGTGCTTGGCACATAATAGCTGCTTGATGAATTGTGTTGAGTAGACGAATTAATTATTTTGGGATTTAGATTATCTAATCACAATTTTCATATTAAAACTGGTAGTCGATAATTAACATAACAGACTTCTTACCGTAAGTGTGATCGCTCTTAATCAAGATGGTCACAGTATCCCATTACTAATAGTACTTATGCAGAAAAAAGGATTTTAAAAATACACTAATAGTTGACATTGAGAGAAAGGATCTAGTACTGATTTTCTTGCCATCGAAGTCCTTAAAGAAAGAAGAAATTTCTGTTTTTTAGGTATAGTAGACTTACTAAATTTTGCAATATAATAAAAGATGCCAAAAGTTTCAAAAAACTAGGCCTCGTGATACAAGTCAATGTAAGGAAATAAAAATGTGGCTTTATTTTTCGTTTCTTCTGTCACTGAACCTGAACCTTTTTTTTTTTTTTTCATTTTTAAATTAAATTTATTAGGGGTAGCACTGGCTAATAACAAAGTCCAGGTGTACAACTTTATAATACGACATCTGTGTGCTCGCCCCCCTGGTGTTAGGCTCGGGCACTGAGTCACCCTTCTATAGTGACTTCACATGGAAGAGGCCTAACGTGTAGACGCCGGTGGTGGCTCGCCAGCACGCTTAGGGAAAAAGCCTTCAGTATGCCCAACCAGGCGTCTCCTGGTCTGGACCTGCTGAGTTTCAGACTCATCTCCTTGTCCCCGCCCCACGCCCTGACTCCTAAACACTTCCAGAACTATCCATCCACTGCGTGCGCCTCTCATCACCGGCACTCTAGACCGACCTGCTGCCTTCTCCCCGCCGGCCTGCAGGACCGGCCTTCGAGCTGCAGCCTTCTGCTCTCTCTTGTCTCTGCACGTCTGAGAGAATGAGCCTTTGAAACAAACCCAATCCCACCCGTCCTTTGCCAATGTGCTTGTCACTTCTCTAGTCATCTCGAAAGCGATAAAAACCTTTTCCATGTTTTAAAAAGCCGTGACCTGTCTTCATCTGTTTCTTGCATCTTGTTTAAGAGGACTTTCCTATTCCCACGGTTATGTTCTCCTAATATTGTTATACTTACTACGATTAGTATTTGAACATAACTAAAATGTATTGTGAATGGTACGAGGGAGGACCTACTTTCATTTTTTTCCCTAAAATAGCGAGTTTTTCCAAAGAATTAACTGAATAGTTCATATTTTCTCACTTATTTAAAAGAACTTTAAAAAAAAAAAATCATGTACCTGCTTCTATGTGGGAGCACGTTCTCACTCTGTGGGGTTCTATTAATCTATTTGTGTGTTCCTGTGAAAGTTCTCTTAATTCAAGCAGCTTTAGCGGAGGGCAACGTCTCCATCGTTGTTTATTTTCAGAACATTTTATTTTTTTAAATATAAATATCAATGGTTTAAATTTTAAATTATCTTTGTCAAAACTTGAATTTTCATCGTGTACAGAACAATGGCAAGGATTTGCTGCCTGCTCTGTATCAGGTGGACAGCACAGACTGGACGCATGCTACATCCTAAATATATTTTCTTAATATTCTAGACCAATTATGAACCAATCCTGCATAGTCACAGTACCTGCTGTCTCATCTGCATGGCAGGCCCAGCTAATTAATTAGCGTTTGTTAAATTTATTATCCAGATACTGCTTATTTATATCCTAGATCACCGAGGCCTTTGATATTTAACTCTCTGCTTATTTACTTCCCAGAAGTTGGTTATGGGTCTGCTCATGCATTCCTTCAAAAGCACAGAGAAGAGCTTTTAAAAAGCTCCTCGCCCCGTGAGGAAGTGCGCGTGGCCAGGCAGCCCCCGAAGCCGTGCCAGCCTTCTGGAGCCCGCAGGTGGAACACGCCGACAGCCCGCCCCGCCTCCACAGAGGGCCGAGAGGGGAAGGGACGCAGACACCCCCAGGGGGTCCAGACCCCGCGCCCACTCCGGTTTCTTCACGCTTTAGGGGTGGCCGGGAAGGCAGCCCTGCCGACAGTGCTCACCATGGCAGAGCACTGTCCCCTGGTTCCCAGAGACGTCCGAGGGGGAAGCTGCTGCTCCCCGGGCTCCTGGCTCCAGACTTGGAGGACAAATGTCTACTTCTTGAAGGCCTAGGGTTTTGAGGTCCCTGTTGGCTGTGTGGGCCGGCCCAGCCTATCTAAAACAGAACAAGTAAAACCGTTAAAGTGTAAAATAGCACCATAACTTGAAGCTTATGGGTAGATTACAATTAATGCCTGGAAACAGGTGATTTGGATTATGACTATATTTTATTTTTCCATGTGATTAGTTTCCCTTAGTGAGGGGACTGAGAGTTAGCTTTGTGGTGGAATGGCTCAGCTGTGGTCAGAACAAGACTCTATATGGTCCGAGCTAAAAAAAATGCAGGAAAGAGCTAGTTTACCATCCTCCCTCCCTCCTGTGCGTGCACGCACACGCACACACACGCACATGCACACGCACGCGCTTCCGTTCACCGGGGAGCCGGACGTTTAGAGGTCCCGGGCCGGGCACACCCTCTCGGCAAGCCTCCCCTTTCGAATGCTTTTCTACTTTGCTTATTATACCCATGGGGCAAAAAGCTTCAATTAGTACCCTATTTGTGAGCAACACTTCCTCTTCACAACTATTTGGTTCATTTAACAGAGAATGTGTGCCCTCAAATTAAGAGTGAAAAGGTGTTTTTGAAGGTGGAGGTAATTAAACTGGGCAGATCATCAACAAACAGAAAATAAAGCGCGGAACTCCAGCGGCTTCGCGGTGAAGAGCTGTGCCGTTAACTTGCAACATTTATTCTGTGAATCGTGTTTGCGTATTAGGCCGAGCATTCAGAGGGTGCAGAGCAGAATAGTGTCCCCACTTTTACGTGGCTTATCTTTGAGTGCGGAGCTAGGCATTAAATCAGCCATTCATAAAAATTTCAGTACTATAAAGGAAGAATGTCGGGAGCTGTGAGAATGTGGACTATTTGTCCTGGTGGGGAAGACAAAGGTTTTCTGAAAAAGGATGAGCAAAATGAGATCTGAAAGATAAGTAGGAATTAACTAGATAAAAGAAAGTCCAGGGAAAGCATGCTAATAGGTGGAACAAGGCCATTCAAGGAACCAAATGAGGTCCAGTGTGGTTGGGGCAGCGACCAAAATGAGGCTGCCGGGGAGCTCGGAACTGGGTGGGCAGTGTGGTGCCACCGAAGGATTTACGTTTAGATGAACGGAGGGATGGACGGATGGAGGGATGGACAGATGGAGGGATGGAGGGATGGAGGCATGGAGGGATGGAGGCATGGAGGGATGGAGGGATGGAGAGATGGAGAGATGGAGGGATGGAGGGATGGAGGGATGGAGGGATGGAGGGATGGGGGGATGGAGAGATGGGGGGATGGGGGGCTGGGGGGGGGGACGGGTTGAGGTAAAAAGACAGATGCTAACAGTTAATTAGAAATTCAGTTGATGGCACAGATAAAAAGTACAGTGCTTAATACAGTGCCTGGATAGACTGATGGACGGACAGACGGATGGGTGGAGGATGGAGGGATGGAGGATGGGTGGATGGAGCCATCAACAGATAGATAAAATTCTCAAAGGACAACTTCCTAAATCGTCACTGTGGTTATCTTTGAGGGTAGAAATATGAGTGAATTTTCTCAGTCTTTCTGGATTGTCCTTCCCTGAATACATTTTATTTGTGTAATAAGAGCAATGAATGCTATAGAGACATGAAACGTTTGAATTTGCACGTGGCCGGGAATCGGTACGTGTATTCCAGAATCAAGAGGAAGTTCAGAATTTGTAACACAGCGTTTCCTCTTTGGGATCTCCTTGTTGGGTGACGGGGGACAGGGTCGGGGAACACTGCCCGCTGCTCTGTGACAGCTGCGTTTCACAGCAGTCACGTAAGGAATGTACTGTCACCGTCTGGACGAGAAAGCTGGGCCCCAAATCTTCAAACAACTTCACTTCCACTGGGAGCAAGGCCAGTTCGGTCCCGTGCTAGGCGGTGCCTAAGGTAATGACAGCAGGTGGCAGGTGCTGAGTTCGCAGGACTCGGCCCTGTGTCCGTCACCTTCGTTTTACATGAGGAAGGAGGACAGCCTGAGCGCCCAGAGTGGAGTGACGAGGTAACCGGTCGCAGCTGGGCCAGCGAGCCCAGACCCGGCCCCCAGCCACATGGCACAGGCATCGCCACGGCTGGGTGCTCACTCGCCGTCTGCCTGCGCGTGGGTGGCGGCAGGCGAGCCGCACCGGCCGGTGCTTGTTAGGCGGAGGGGCAGCGCGGAGCGAACAGATGGTGACAGGCCTCTGTCTTCAGGGGACACCAGCGGAATCCCCTGCTTCACTAGTCAGCCACACGACCCCTAAGTGTCGGGCACTGTTAGCCAGTCGACGGCTGCTTTAGCAGAGGGACAGGGGAGTTGGCCTGTGTGGCCGTCACCTCCGCCTCCCGCCGCGGAGCCCTGATCTCCCTCCCGTCTCCCTGGGGGGCCTCGCCCTCGGCCTGGCCTCGGCTGCTTGTTTCCTCCCATGTCTTGTCTGCTTGGGATCTGCGGATCTGACCGCCAGCAAGGGGAAGCGTAGGGCCGGCTTCTGAACGCTCCCGGACGTTCCAGTGACGTGATGTCCGCGGGCTACTCTCGGAACTCCAAGCCCAGCGCTTCCAAGAGGCGGGCGAAGTGGAGGGTCAAGGGGGTTCACGCTCACGCCGCCGCCGCCGCTGCCCCCGTGTGCGTCTGTGCACGCTGCTTCCGTCCCTCTGCCCCAGGGCCCTCCAACGACCAAGGGCCCCAGGGACCAAATCCTGGCACCCCCGCCTCGTCCTTGCGGGAATCTGTAGAATGCTACAGGCCAGCTGCCACCTCTTCCCGAGACCCGTTTCCTTTGGGTCCCCCATTCCGGTTCTCCTGGGTCTCTTGCTGCCACGGTTGTGCCGGCCTCACTCGCTTTTCTGCCTCGTTCTTCTTCCTTCCCTCTCTCTTTCCATCCGGGCCTCTCCCGGGAGGGCGGGGCGGGAGGCACGCGGTCCCACCCACAGCAGGGCCGGGCCCTGGGGGCTCAGGTGCTCGCTCTTTATTTTCTCATTTTTTACGCCTACAGCACCTGGTCTTCCTAGGTGGTCTCCCATCCAAGCACTAACCAGGCCCGACCCCGCTTAGCTTCTGTGATCGGACGGGATCAGGCGTGTTCGGGGGGCGTGGCCATAGACCAGGTGCTCCTTCCTACCTCTGACTTCATGCCTCGATGCGGAAGCACGTCCTTCCCAAAGTCTCGGTTTCTGCTACTGCGCCCCCTCCCCACCCTTTCAGACTCCGTCGTTGGAGTGATGTCTGATCTCTTCCTCCTGGTCCCCATTTACAACGTGACCACGTCCTGTAGGCTCTGTGTTAAAAACACCTGTATGAAAACCCCCATT